TCTATCCCAGACCTCAAACCTTTAAACTTAATTTTTTTTTTTTTTGTTATTGCTTAGATGGGTGGACGAGTTCACAGCCCACCTGGTGTTAAGTGGTTACTGGAGCCCATAGACATCTACAATGTAAATGCGCCACCCACCTTGAGATATAAGTTCTAAGGTCTCAGTATAGTTACAACGGCTGCCCCACCCTTCAAACCGAAACGCATTACTGCTTCACGGCAGAAATTGGCGGGGTGGTGGTACCTACCCGTGCGGACTCACAAGAGGCCCTAACAACAGTGAAGGTGGTAGGAATTATGGTTAGTTTTAGAGGACATAGCCGGTTCTAAACGACACGGCGATATAGTCTCTTACAAAATCTTTGGAACAAGCAGCGGCGAAATTTCGCTTGGAAACAGTTCGTAAATCTATAGGGTTCGTGGCCAAATAGATTTAATGCCTGTATAAAGGCCAAAAGTGACCATTTCGAATAGATTTTTTTGTAATTTTTGCTCAGATTTTACTAAATAATTAATATTACATTACTTCATTCAAAAAAAAATCATTTTCGTTTGTAACAGAACTTATGGCTGGAGATAGTACTACTCGTATATTTTGGCGCTTTTATATCAAACTAGAGGTCCCGCAGTAGTCGAAATTCGACTATAATTAATTGGAATTGTAAGTTTGTACACTATTATGATTGTATTTTATACTTCTATAAGCACAAATTTCGCCAAGACTACACTATAAAAACATATTAACAAAGACAAACAATATTTAATCTATTCTCAATTTGACAACAGGCGTCAAGAACAAAAGTTTGACAATAAACAGTATGCATGCGTGTGTGCGTCAAATACATGGTATGCAGTGTGTGTAATGTTTTCTTTATTGATTTAATGTATCTTTTATGCATTATTTAAAAAAATATTAACATTGTGCACTTCTTCTCTATATTCTCTATAAGTGTAGAAAATTTCATACTCCTCCGTCCACGCAATTTTCGTAAAAAGGGATACAAAGTTTTTGCTTCACGTATTAATATATAGATATTGGTGGGTGCATGAACGAAATGAAGAGGCACATGACAGTCACGAGGTCGGCGATGGACGGGCTGAGAAAATTATGGAGAAATAGAAACCTAACTAGGACCACAAAGATCAGGCTCCTTAGAACACTAATATTCTCCATATTTCTATACGTTGCTGAGACGTTAACTGTGCGAGAAATGTAATAGAAGAGACTAGACGCTCTGGAGATGGGGTGCTGGAGAAGAATGCTTGGAGTTTCGTGAACCGAGCAACGGCTGCCCCACCCTTCAAACCGAAACGCATTACTGCTTCACGGCTGAAATAGGCGGGGCCTAGTCGCACAAGAGGTCCTACCACCACCAAATATTCGTATAAACATCTCGATACTTCAAGAAGTCGGCCTCAAGCAGCGTTCGCTACCGAGCATCGGAGCCGCGGCAGCTACAGGTCTTCTCCTATGACCGTTACGAGGGGCGCGCGCTGTTCATCGAATTATGTATTGGTGCAATGCGCCAAGTTTTTTTTTTTTTTTTTTTTTTTTTTCACTCCGATAGAGGCACCCGTCACGTGCGGACGTGCTCATCGTCCACTCGATCGCCCGGTCTTTGTTCGCCCGGCTTTTGTTAGCCCGGCCATTGTTCGCGCGGCCTGTGTTCGTGATACATCTGCCGACCAAGTGTGTTTCCTGGAAGCTTTTATTTGTTTTGTTTTAGTTATTTTTGTGTTCGTGGAAAATTTGCCGACAAAGTGTTTTCCTGCAAGTATTTATTTGTTTTGTTTCTTTTTGTAATTTCTGTTTTGTTGTGCTTTTTCTTTGTCCTGTAGTAATCGCGCCACATTGCCACCTGTGTTCAATAGAACCGCTCAGGTCCGAGAAGTTGGGGCCTCGCCGCAAGGCGAGTGTTTTCAAGACCCGGGGCCGCCCCACCTGGGTACTCAGCGATCATGGACGCTGTATTCGCGGAATTCCTCCGACTTCGCCACCCACAGCTCGCCTCAGAGTTTCTGGCCTTCAAGTCTGGCCACACTGCGAGCCCTCTCGAGGACTCCGCCGCGCTCGCTGCTCCTGCGTCGCCTGTACCTGCGTGCAGAGCTTCTGCATT